CCTGCAAAAAGGGGGCGAGGCACGAGCGTCATGTTACCATGCTGTTACCATGCTGTTACCATGCTCTTACCATGCTGTTACCATGCTCTTACCATGCTGTTATCATGCTGTTACCATGCTGTTACCATGCCACAGCAACCCCCCATTCCCCTGATAGGTGGAGAGTTGCCCATATAGGCGGAGCTCCTTGTTTCTGACATCAGAGATATTTCAAATCTGTATCAGTCTGTATCAGATCCGTTGCGGCCCCATTTTTAGAGATTTGGGTATGGAGGAAAAGAGAGAGGGTTGTGTTTTCTGACACTTGGTGAGTTCCCTGACACACCGGGGACACATACTCATGTATAAAAGACGTACAAAAGTGAATTTATCTTTCTTTCAGGTGTAACATCTACCAATGGTTGTACATGACAGAGACCTTCTCCACCTCTTCGCTGTCCTACTAGTCAATCCTTCTGATTCTGATCCTTTCCTAAATAGTGGTAAGTTTTACAGTTCAGTGTACGTTAATTTAGCAACTTAATGCTTTACTGCTGTTGAATAAATCCTATATTTCTAGTGATTTTATTAAAACTATGATTTGCAATCTTTTTGATTCCAATTACAATAATATTTGTGTTATAATTGTAAAACACATCTTAACATCCATCAGCAAATCATCCAACACAAAATAGAATAAATCTGGTCCTATTCTATTTCTTTTTATACAACAGCATCTATTGGGACTGCTCATTGATGTCATCAAGAGCCATTGAGTCTACCTTTTGTAATCGGCCTCTCAGAATGTTCATCATTTCTTTGTCTCTTAACATTCCTATAATCATTTGTTTTTTTATTGTTGGTATTGTTTTGTTCTTTATTTTTGTTGTGAGAATCACTTTGCAATTGTTTAAGTGCTATATAAATAGTTATACTAATATTATTGTTGTTAGCATCATTACTATTATTAACAATGTTTTCTTTATTTATCACTGCAGAAAGGATCATGCCAGCCCACATCAAACACCTGATCAAGAACTTGTGAATCTTCAGGCAGAAAGGTTGAAAACACCTGTTCGAAGTTCCAGTTCCCTGTACATGGAACCATGACTGTCCTCTGTCCCACATGTCTTCAGTCAGTTCTGGACCCAATGACTCTGTTCTACATGTCTTCAGTCAGTTCTGGACCCTATGAGTCTGTTCCACATGTCTTCAGTCAGTTCTGGACCCTATGACTCTGTTCCACATGTCTTCAGTCAGTTCTGGACCCTATGACTCTGTTCCACATGTCTTCAGTCAGTTCTGGACCCTATGACTCTGTTCCACATGTCTTCAGTCAGTTCTGGACCCTATGACTCTGTTCCACATGTCTTCAGTCAGTTCTGGACCCTATGACTCTGTTCCACATGTCTTCAGTCAGTTCTGGACCCTGTGACTCTGTTCCACATGTCTTCAGTCAGTTCTGTACCCTATGACTCTGTTCCACATGTCTTTAGTCAGTCCTGGACCCTATGAGTCTGTTCCACATTTCTTCAGTCAGTCCTGGACCCTATGAGTCTGTTCCACATGTATTCAGTCAGTTCTGGACCATATGACTCTGTTCCACATGTCTTCAGTCAGTTCTGGACCCTATGACTCTATTCCACATGTCTTCAGTCAGTGCTGGACCCCATGACTCTGTTCCACATGTCTTCAGTCAATGCTGGACCCTATGAGTCTGTTCCACATGTCTTCAGTCAGTGCTGGACCCTATGAGTCTGTTCCACATGTCTTCAGTCAGTTCTGGACCCTATGACTCGGACACTAGTTATACCAAGGCTCATTAGAGGTAAGAGTGGTAGAAGAGGAGTGGAGTTATCTTTGTATTTAGGCTGCAAGTCAACAACGGTGATCAAGTGCTGCTACTAATAATGATCCGATTAATTTGATATTGATTGTCTGCCAATACCAAACCCTGATCCGATTCTTCTATTTCCCAGATAATATAGCTGCACCGTGTACACTAGCTCTATTTTTTTTTGCCATTGTAATTCACCGTAAGCAATTGTTGACTGTAACGTCTATGCCAACCAACTGTAATTTGTAATGTATTTTACCATACTTTAACCGTTCTGGCAACCACAGCAGCCCAAATGTTAACGTAAATGTCAAGTTTTCTTTTTACAGTGTACTTATATCTGTTCATTTCTTTTCAGTTGGCTTCAAGAAGTGGCTTCAACAGACAGAAGTGCAGGCCAGATTGGGAAAGGCTGGACGCTACACAATGGGAAACATTATGGACATGAACAAGGAAAAACAAAAAACACTTTCTTTGTTGCCTTTTTCTTATCATGCATAGTGTTACTGTTTTTGTTACCATTTAAATATTGAATTCTATTTATTGCTTTTATTTTTAAATCAAATGCACCCGTTTTAGATAATATATTTATTTTGATGTGTAGGTTGATTTGCAGGTTGGTTGTTATTTGTATTGTTACTGTGTATTTTATTATAATAACTAGCTATTTATTAAATTAAAATACTGTTATGAACACTATACAATGTCTTTATTTTGGTAGATACCAGAATACATGACACAATGAATCTTTGTAATATATTTATGTTCTCTAGTTTAAATAATCACACCAGTATTTAAACAATGTATGCTGGTCACCTGGAATCCTGGTAAGCTTCCAGCATGGTATATTTAATACTATTATTAAACATAAACTGGTGATAGATGGATGCTGGTGACCAGCCCAGCATACTATGCTAGTCTCTGCTGTTTTTCTTAGCTAGCCAGGATGGCTGGTTTAGCTGGTGGCTGATTTGGCTGGTTTAGCTGGTGCACCAGCTAAACCAGCTAAACCAGCTAAACCAGCTAAACCAGCTAAACCAGCCATCCTGGCCAGCTAAAGTGTCCAAAACCCCTCTAAACCAGCCAAGCTGGTCAACTTAGCTGGTCAGGCTGGTTGACCAGCTAAGTTGGTCTAAGCGTATCTTGCCCTAATGAAATCCAAACTGATCTGAGACCCTTCCATAGGTTCATTGAAAAGACCATAAAACCACCTTAAACCTAGGAGTCCTACCTTGAGGGAGATAATGGTGAGCGTGCAGCCAAGAGAAAGGTTTTCTGAAACTGCCAGAAAAACTTTTATAACTTACATTTTACCGGTCACCGGTAATGTGATCACGTCACGTGACAATGACATCACATTCCCACACATATATAAGAAGCAGCCTGTCACTTGAAGCTTCACAATCTCCATCCTCTCTAACGGTTCAGTGCAACTTTAACAGACAGAGACGGTGACATCATCATCATGCTGGTTTTCCTCTTCCTGTTGGGCCTGGCTCTGGGTGCTGTGTCTTCTTCAGATGACCCTCAAATGGACCAACAGCAAGACCCCTGTCCCTCCTTCTGGTACTCCTTCAACAGCCGCTGCTACAAGTACTCCAACACGGAGAGGAGCTGGGCTGATGCAGAGCTCTACTGTGTGTCCCAGGGAGGCAACCTGGTGTCTATCCACAGTGCAGAGGAAGAGAATTTTGTGAAATTGATGGTCGAAATCTCTGACCCTGCTGCGGGAGCAACATGGATCGGACTCCATGACATCGCCAAAGAAGGAAGATGGATGTGGTCTGATGGGTCTGTAGCCACGTATTTCAATTGGTATAGACAACCAAACAACAGCGGACGAAGTGAAGACTGTGTAGTCAACAACTTTCGAGGGAAGTGGAATGATGTGCGTTGTTCAGCAACTTTTCCCTCAGTTTGTGCATCTCGCACAACTTGTCCTTAGCAGCTGAGATGTTACGTGATCACCTGTTTTGTTAACATGATAACAATAAAGACACAGATGTAAACTTGTATATGTGTGTGAACAGAAGTCCTTTTGTCTAACCTTTATTTTCATGAATGTTCCATATTCACACTGGTCGCTCCAGGGGTTAATCAAAGGAATTATTTCTACACCTTTTTTTAAATATCATAAATACATTTAGTAAATAATATTGATGATGCATTATTATAACATTTTGATCCACAGATTTTAGCCGTTGCTCATTATTCCTGGTATTATACTTATTTGTTTTAACCACACACAGTTGTATATCATTCAATGATCACATGGATGTGGTCAGGTATTTACGGCACCTGGTGTATGGATGACCAACGGGCTGAACTTGCTCTTTTCTGTTGACCATATAGTCCTGCTTTGGTTATTGTTTGTGTTATTTTGTTCAATAAACATTAACTTTTGCACAGATTTGATTTAGGAATGCTTCAAAGTGATGAGCCTAGTCTTAGCGACATGATTTATTGGGAAAAGTACCATCACTCTTTTTCTGGTTTTGGGAATAACAGGTGTTTAATGGACAGGGACTCTACTTATCATGTTTATCTTTCACATGGACGTAAACGTACAAACCTAAAATGTACTCAACAGTACTATTTTCTGATAAACAAGACATTCATTCTCTCTGTTGTTTTAAAGGAAGACTAACAAAAGGAGGGCTTGAGCTATCAGATATAGTTAAGATTACAGAGTATAATATATATATAGCACGATTCAATATACCGTAGTGCTTGCATAGAGTATATTCAGGCAGGCATGGCGTGAAACTCAAAAACTGGCAGCATGGTAACAGACATGTGTATCATCACCTGCGTCTTAGATTTCAATGCAATTCATATAAAATGAATGATTATTGGTTTTTGTTGGGAAGCAAAAACAATCAAAAGTAATCAAATTGATCATCATTTTCAAAAAAAAGTCAAACTTCTTGGGTTTTTCCTTTGTGTGTTATTTGATTGAAGAGGTACTGGAAAATAACCGAGTGAAACAAAAGTGCCCACAATCCTTCTGTGCATTGTTGACTAATGCAAACGGACCACACCCTGGACAACAGTATTACAAGTTTAAACTCCCGAAATAACCCAAAACTAGAGTATCAGCTTCAGTTCAAAGGTCATGGAAAGGAAGGAGGGAAGGAGATAGAAATAGTGTATATGGTAAATTGGCAGCATTTATATAGCACTTTTCCACTCTCGTGACCCCTCAAATGTCTTTGACATAAGTCAAGCTGAACAGCAGGATACACACATTCATATAGTGCATGCACCTGCTAATGGAGAACAAGATTCACACTCACACTGATCGCCATGCAATCAGGAGCAATTTAGGGTTCATTATCTTTGTCTCTTAGAGTTCAGGAGAGCCCAACAATGATGGAAAAGAAGACTGTCCACACCAACTACGGTTTTGATCACACATGGAATGATTTCCATTATTATTCTTATCCCTCAGTTTGTGCATCTGGCATAACTTGTGTTTATCAACTGAGATATTACATACATCTTATTGAACCAGGTCACTGTTCACCTGTTACTCTGTTAACATCCCTTTGGCCCCAATAAAGACACAGATGTACACTTACTGTGTGTATGAAAGTCCTTTTTGTGTTTGTGATATATGCAACATAATGGTTCACTTTATTGACAAGGAAACAATGCATTATTCACACACTTTGACAGCACATTTCACCTTTAAAGCCAGTCTCCTTAACTTTTGCTGAACAGCAGACAGTGCAGCCTCTAAGTTATAGAAAAGTATTTAATGTTTAAAATGTAGCTAAGTGGTAATTTAGCATCTGGGTACAAGGGTTTGCTGGTGTAACCTTAAAAAAGTGAAAAGAGTCAGTCTGGCTTGCAGACTTTAGATTTTTTTTTAAACATGAGGCACAATTTCTCTTTCTTCTGAGAAACATAATCTCATTTTAAAGAGGCTTTCTGTTAAATCAACTCAGCAATAGTTGGTCAGCAAGATCTCCTAAATCAGAGCTGTGGTCTGTTCCTATTCAGTGTCATAGAAAGGCCTTGTGGCAGTCATTTGACTATTACCCATATAGTGGGCCATCACCAGGTGAGCAGGTAGACTGTTTTTGCTTATGTTAAGGTGTGGTTGTGTTTAGCGTTAGCCAAGTTCAGTTGACCAATAATATATTAGGCCAACAGTGAACACACCCTGTCTCTGATGCGGTACTGTGGCTGGGGTCCCCTTTAAATAGCTGACAACACCAACTCCTGCTGAGGGGATGGAGGAACCTGTGGACCCTCAATCTAAATCCAAAGTTGTTTTGCAGATTGTGGGGCTTCCCTTCACAAGGACAATAACAGAGGCATGAATTACCAAATATAATGCAGCTTTATTTCACAAATATACATGTTAAAATGTCAATGTTCAGCAGCAGTCAACGGGTAAACATACTTTACACTATTACATGGTGGGTTTTCCCTCCTCAGATGGGCAGGTCTGGTCCACTAGGTCACAATGCCTGCTAACTGTGAGGGACAAAAAGAGAACAAAAGCACGCACTACTCAAAGCACAACTTCTACAAAATTATTACAGTGAGTTAGTTTACTCACCCTTTTAAAGTGTCACACCATGCAGTCCCTACACTGAAAGCAGACAAGGTTCCCCCAGAGGGAGAGGAGCCTGTAACACAAACACTTAGTCAATTATAATGCCCACAATCTGCACACAAGAAAACTATTGACAGAAAATAAAACTAAAAAAGCATTAGAGGACAGTATTCTTTTTAAAAAACAAACGCAACATAATAGTTGCCAGCTCAAACACCAGTTCAATATAACATTAAAGAAGGTTAAAAACCAGGCTTACTTTGACAGAGTAATAGATCCTCCTGGCTCAATCCAGGAGGGGAAATGCTCATACTCAGCTCTATGGATTAAACACAAAAACAGATGTTATAAATAATAATAAGAGCTAGAAGAAAGTGAACAAACGTCCATAGCCAGTTTCCCGGGTTGCTTGGCTGGTTTTAGCTGGTGTTAGGCTGGTTTAGTTGGTTTACCAGGCTGGACAAGCTGGCCAGGCTGGTCTTGCTGGTTCAAGACTTTGGTCGAGCCAAAGTGCTGTACTTGTAATAAAAACACATTACTATCACAATAAAAGACAATAATTTACAACAGAAATATAAAAAACAAAAACACAGGGAATAGTCAGGTTGAGCCAAAGTGCTGTACATGTAATAAAAACACATTACTATCTCAATAAAAGACAATAATTTACAACAGAAATATAAAAAACAAAAACACAGGGAATAGTCAGGTGTCATGCTCCGCTCTGACTAGAAGGCCTGGGAGAAGAAGTGAGTCTTTAGTGAGGATTTAAAAAACCCTAGTGTCTGGGCCGACCTCACATGGAGGGGCAGACTATTCCAGCGCCTGAGGCCAGCTGCTGCGAAGGCTCAGTGACCTCAGGTTTTGAGCCTGGTCTTGGGCACTATCAGCAACAGCTGGTCAGCAGACCTTAAACCTCTGGCTGGGGTGTAGCGATGGAGGAGTTTGGCTATATAGGCAGGAACCAGCCCATTTAGGGCTTTGAAAACAAATAAAAGGATTTTAAAATCAATTCGGAACTGAATTGGAAGCCAGTGTAGTGAGGCCAGAATTGGGGTGATGTGGTCACGCTTTTTGTGGCCAGTCAGAAGACGTGCAGCTTATAGGCGGAGTTTGACATTTGCGCTTGGGGGGGGCAAACCTTTTTTACTGACATCAGTACACAGTCCCAACTATTGCGTGGGGTGCTAGGGATACAGTAGCAATAAAGCCAGCATTCACCGCACTGTATGACTTTTCCACATACGAACATAACTCGTCCCGTCATGCACGCCTCATGCTCATATGGAAGGGGCGGTCTCTCCCCCCAACAACAGTGCATTACATAACTGTAAAACTTATCATAACTGTGCACATCTTATACTTATTTGATACTATATCCCTTGGTTACTTGAACACGCTACAATATTATTAACCAGTGTCCTACCTTAGTGCAGAAGTAGACGCCTTTTTTTACGTTCCGCATATGTGTCGACTCCACTATCCCCTCAGGTGACAGCTGTGTGATTATGTCGTCCTCAATGTGAAGAACCACAAGTGAGGAAAATCTTGTTCCTCCCATCTTTGACCGCAGCCAGTTCCGAATTCTCCTCATTGCAGAAAAACTTCTCTCAGAGGTGGCAGAGTCAGTGCCAACCAGCATCTTGTATAGATTTGGATAGCTGTCCTTTTTAACAGTCTTTCGGGTTAGGTAATCGCCGAATATCCATTACTGCTAATTCTTGTAATACAATAGCTGAATCACTTGTATGCAAAAAAAAGCGAGGGAAATGTGTCCTTAACCTCACACGTCACACACACACACACGTCACAACATGCGACTGCTCAAAAATGAAATGATTTCAAACAAAACATGATATTATTCAGATTTGTATTGTAACAATCATTTTATTACATCTATTAAAATATTGATATACGAAATATTTGTATTGGAACAGTTTTAGACGTAGTAATGCTGTAACATATTTCAGCCACTAGGGGGGGAAATGCCCCCCCTCAAAATCCGCCTATGTTGCAGCTGCGTTTTGGACTAGCTGCAGGCGTTTAATTGAGGCCCGGGCTGCGTCTCAGGTCGGTTATTTTCATTTCCTCGCTTCTCGGTCCTCTGTATCACCGGAAGTTGATTTGTCTGCGCCATCTTGAGTAGCGTCCCATGGCGCTTATTTCTGCCGGAGGACCGAGGATCGAGGAGCGAGGAGCGAGGAGCGAGGAGCGATAAGGAGCGATAACCGAGGAACCACCAGACCATCCTCCGGTGAAATCCTCAGCCACTCGCTCCGCCCCCTTACTGTGTATCGCTCACTGATTGGACGATGCAGTGCATGCACTGATCTGATGCTTCTTGACATGAGAGCAGTTTCCCAGCGGAGCAGGCCCGGTTCCAGAACAAAATGACTCAGGGTGCATCTGAGATTAGAGAGGGTGCAGTGGTAAAGTTGTCACGATCTGCCTGTATTGTATTTTGTCTTGTCTTGTTTCATGTTTTATGTTGAAAGGTCTTCACTTCCTGTCTTGCCTGTTTCTGTCTGCGTTGTGTCTTGTTTAAATCTGTCTGTGGTTCCCGGTCGTTAGTTTCCCTGGTGTGTCTAATTTACCCGATTGTGTTCACCTGGTGTCTTGTTTCTGTGATTAGTCTTGTGTGTATTTAAGTTCTGGTTTTTCTGTCTGTCTTTGTTGGTTCGTCTTTTGTCATGACTAGTTCGTCGGTGAGTGTTCTGTTTTGTCTTTGTTGTTCACCTAGCCTTGAAATAAAGGAATTCTCACTTTAATCTGCATTTGGGTCCTACCTGCTTCAAACACCGTGACAGAACGAACCGACCACAAAATGGACCCAGCAGATGATCCATGGGAGGTTGAATTACAGCATTTAACCTTCTATCTGGCTTGCTGCTTCGATTGGTGGAAGGGAGCATCTAGTGTTCGGCAGAAGAGGGCCGCTCTGGTAGAGGCGCTCCGGTTGGCAGCAGAGAAACCATGTTTTGTTGAGTTCTTACCTGACTGGATTTTGGACTTCCTTCAAGCATGTGATTCCCGGCCTGCTAGCCCCAGGCATGCTAGCTCCCTGTCTCCCAATTCCCAACCTGGCACCATACACCTTGGTGGGTTCCGCCTGAAGTCAACCCGTGCTTCTGCCCCAGTTCCTGCTCCTGTCCAGGAGTCGTATTCCGGAACTCGTCTGGCTTATGGAGGTCCACGGAGTATTCAGGAGGCTGCTAAGAGGAGTCGTCGCAAGGCCAGGCTAGCAGCCCGAGTCCCAACAGCCGAGGTTCCGGCTCCAGTACAGGCCCCAACAGCCATGGTTCCGGCTCCAGTGCCGGACCCAGCAGCCATGCCTCCATGCTCCAGTCCCCGCCCACGCAGCTTTGCGTCCATACTGGATTACCTGGCTTACACAGCCAGGGTCCAGGCTTCCGCGCCGGACCCAGCAGCCATGATTCTGGCTTCAATTCCGGCTCCAGAACCGGACCTTACAGCCATGTTTCAGGCTCCAGAACCGGACCTTACAGCCATGTTTCCAGCTCCAGAACCGGACCTTAACAGCCATGATTCTGGCTTCAATTCCGGCCCCCGCAGCCATGGTTCCGGCCCCAGCAGCCATGGTTCCGGCTTCAGTACCGGCCCCGGAAGCCATGGGCTCGACTCCAGTTTCGGCTACAGGGCTGGCTCCCCAGCCGACGCCAGCTCCCCGAGTCTTGTCGGCGTACCGGCCGACTCCAGCACCTCGTCTCCTGCTGGCTCCCCAGCCAACGCCAGCTCCCCGAGTCTTGTCGGCGTAGCGGCCGACTCCAGCACCTCGTCTCCTGCTGGCTCCCCAGATGACGCTAGCTCCCCGTGTCCTGTCGGCGTACCGACCGACTCATGTCCCCTCTCCAGTTCCTACCCGAGTCCCCTCTCCAGTTCCTACCCGAGTCCCCTCTCCAGTTCCTACCCGAGTTCCCTCTCGGGTCCCCTCTCGAGTTCCCTCTCGGGTCCCCTCTCGAGTTCCCTCTCGGGTCCCCTCTCGAGTTCCCTCTCGAGTTCCCTCTCGGGTCCCCTCTCGAGTTCCCTCTCGAGTTCCCTCTCGGGTCCCCTCTCGAGTTCCCTCTCGAGTTCCCTCTCGGGTCCCCTCTCGAGTTCCCTCTCGAGTTCCCTCTCGGGTCCCCTCTCGAGTTCCCTCTCGGGTCCCCTCTCTGGTCCCCTCTCCAGTCTCCTCTCAAATCCCTTCTCGAGTCCCCTCTCAAGTCTCCTCTCCAGTTCCCTCTCCAGTTCCCTCTCCAGTTCCCTCTCAGGTCCTCTCTCGAGTCCCCTCTCTAGTCACCTCTCAAGTTCCTACCAGAGTCCCCTCTCGAGTCCCCTCTCGAGTCCCCTCTCGAGTCCCCTCTCCAGTTCCCTCCTCTAGTCCCCTCTCCAGTTCCCTTCTCCTAGTCCCTCCTCTAGTCCCTCCTTTAGTCCCTGTTCTAGTCCCTGCTCTAGACCCCTCTCTAGTCCCTCCTCGAGTCCCCTCTCTAGTTCCCCTCGCGAGTCCCCCCTCGAATTCCCTTCTCTAGTCCCCTCTCTAGTTCCCCTCTCGAGTCCCCTCTCGAGTTCCCCCTTGGTTCCCCTCTCGAGTCTCCTCTCGAGTCACGTCTCGAGTTCCCCCTTGGTTCCCCTCTCGAGTCTCCTCTCGAGTCCCCTCTCGAGTCACGTCTCAAGTCCCTACCCAATGTCCTGGTCCGTTGGAGGTTCCGCTGGGGGGTCCTGCCAACTCCATGGCCTGTCCCGTTGGAGGCCCCGTCGACTACTCCTCTGCCGAGGGTCCTACCAATTGTATGTCTGTCCCGTTGGAGGTCCCGCCGTCTACTCTCCTGCCGGGGGTCCTGCCAGTTCCTTGTCCTGTCTCGTTGGAGGTCCCGCGGACTACTCTCCTGCCGGGGGTCCTGCCAACCCTTTGTCCTGTGCCGTTGGAGGTGCCGCCGGTCTACATCTCCTCTGCCGGGGGTCCTGCCAGCTCCTTGTCCTGTCTTGTTGGAGGCCCCGCCGACTACTCTCCTGCCGGGGGTCCCTGCCAACCCTTTGTGCCTGTCTCGTTGGAGGTCCCGCCGTCTACTCTCCTGCTGGGGGTCCTGCCAATCCTATGTCCTGTGCCGTTGGAGGCCCCGCCGACTGCGTCTCCTGCAAATCCCGTGTCCTGGTCCTCTTGCCGTGGGGGATCCTGCCGAGGGCCTGTCCCACCAGCTCCGACACCTGGGTCCTGCCCGGCCTCCGGCACTGTCCCGTCAGCGCCTTCCTGCCCGGCCTCCGGCAACTGTCCCGTCAGCGCTCCTTCCTGCCCGGCCTCCGGCACTGTCCTGTCAGCGCCTTCCTGCCCGGCCTCCGGAGCTCTCTGGTCTTCGCCCTCAAGCGCCGGGCCCTGAGAGCCGCGGTCTTCGCCCTCGATCCCGGCCCTCTGTGAGCCATGGTCTTCGCCCTCGAGCCCGGCCCCCTGGAGAGCCGCGTCTTCGCCCTCAGATCCCGGCCCTCTGTGAGCCGTGGTCTTCGCCCAGTGATCCCGGACCCCCTGACTCTTCCTGCCGATGTGAGGCCTTCGCCCTCATGCTCGGCCGCCCGAGTCCCCCACCTTAGACTCTTGCCTTGCCCCCCGGGCCGTCCGCCCGAATCCCCCTTTTTGAACTCTGCCTTGCCCCCGGGCCGTCCGCCCGAGAACCCCTCCTTGAACTCTGCCTTGCCCCCGGGCCGTCCGCCCGAGA